CATGGGAATCGCCCAACGGAAGAATCACGCCGAGATCGACCACATTCTCACCAACCGAAGGTGGAGCTTGCTCGATGTCTCGTAGTTCCGTCCTTCTGCAAAGGCTCCGATCACCGCCTCCTTCGAACAAAGATACGATTCAGTCGAAAGCTGGGAAAAAATTTGTCACACTCCGCAGGAAGGAAAGAAGTCGTTTATGATGGTAACAGGCCGAAAGAGCTCATATCAAGACTATCAAGTTGTGACTGGCCCATCGAGGAGGACCCAACGTTATGACACGACCGGCTTCCGAAAGGACAGCGAGTCTGCGGAGAGTGCGCCTCAGTGGCTTCTGAGAAGGACTTGGATCGTGTTTCGAAGACCACCAAGTGATTGCTCGAAAGAAGAAATTTCTGAGGCAGATCCGAATGCAACCCCATCTCGAGCGACTAATAGCCAACGCCAGTTGCAGAACAGCAGTGCGGGAGGATCTCAGAAGTACATGCAAGCCAAGATACTGGAACCAGCCGAAGGAAGACGAAGGTATCGCTATTCTGCACTATTAAACGAAGACGGGACTCCGATTTCTTCCCGATACAAGATGGAATTGATGGCGATGAACGTCTACACCAATCCATTCCGCTCATCAACCCGTGCGTGCCGATGCCTGTTTTCTCACTGGAGATGTACAACCACGAATTCTACCTGCTGAAGTGCGCACGGCGATTCAGACCATGGAGATGTCCATGGCTTCAGGATTAGACTATCTTTCCGTCGAGTGTCTGCGAGCCGGAGGACAACGTCTACACGAGATTCTTGTGTCGCACCTGACATCTTACCATCAGAAGGAAAGGATTCCCGGTCAGTGGAGAACACCAAGAACCGTCCTTGTCTTCAAGGAGGGCGAACGGGAAGATCTTCGGAACTGCCGTCCAATATGCCTGCTGAGCGTGCTGTACAAGCTTTTCACGAAGACTATCCTCGCTTGCATATATAGGACACTGGATGAAGCCCAACCCCAAGAACAAGCTGGATTTCGTAAAGGATTCAGCTGCATGGACCACAACTAAACGGTGTCGAGGGTCATAGAACCGGGAACACCGAATATCTCTCGTTCTAATCTTCGTCGGCTACGAGAACGCCTTCGACAGCATCGAAAGCAACGCCATCCTGTTAGCGCTATTCGATCAAGGGGTGGATCCAGCTTAGTGAGGACGTTAGCCGGCTGCCATAAGCACTGTACACAACGACGCGGCTACTTCATTTCGGCCTTTCCAATTGGGATGGGGTTCGGCAAGCAACACGATTTCGCCGAAGCTGTTCACCGCGGCCTTGCAGTGAGTGATAAAATCACTGGACTGGGACGAGAGAGGCATAGAGTTGATGGAAGATTCCTGTCCAATCTTCGTTTTGCGGACGACATCATTCTCTTTTCGAGCAATATCATTGAAGCAGAGACGATGCTGAAGGAACTGAACGAAGTAGGGAAGGTCGGATTGCGAATAAATCGAAAGCATACCCAGTTCATGAAGAACGCTTTCTCTGAAGATGCAGAAATGGAAATGGAAGGCACCCCTATCATGGAGACGTTTTCTTACGTGTACCTCGGACGTTCGATGAACATGGAGAACGACTTGAGGGAAGAACTTCAGGAAAAGAAGAGCAGCCTGGGCCGCCTTCGGGCTTCTTAAGGAAGTCACTGACCAACTGACGAACCCGGAGCTTCGTGCCCACCTGTTCGACTCAACCGTCCTCCCGGCGCTCTGTTACGCAGCTGAGACTTGGGCCGACACTGTAGCGACGTCGAAAGCTTTACGGACCACCCACAGAGCGCTTGAGCGCAGTCTTCTGAAGATGAGCCGACACAAACAACACCTTGTTGGACTTCGCAGTATGGGTTTAAGAAGAATGTCCCGTCTTTGTGACCCCAGCGGAATACGTTGCGAAGGCGAAACATCGATGGGCCGGTCACATCATGAGAAGAACAGACGACAGATGGACACTAAGAACATTTGAGTGGATTCCTCGCGAAGCCAAACGTCCTCAAGGAAGACCACGGACGAGATGGGCGGACGTGTTCGTGGAACAGATCGGCCAGCTGAGAAATCAGATGGATACGATTTTCGTCCCTGGAAGTCGTGGACGCAGTCACCGACGACAACCAAGAAGGCTGTGGATGTCCGAAGCGAGAGACAGGGATCAATAAAAACTTTTGTACTGGGGCCCGCACGTTACGTGAGGACGGGCCATCTAACAATAAGTATCTAAGTAAGTAAGCCTTGTAAAAAAATTTTCTTAAGGGCGTGGCTGACGTCACTCCACTTTTCTCTGAAATTTCGCGGTTGTGGGCCCGTAAAAACTTGGAAACCAAACCGAAATTTTTTCAGAGTGCGTATCTGATGCCACGCACCTCATCAAAAAAAGATTTTTGTCGCATCTCCTCCTTTCCCCCCCCCCCCTCGAACAGAAATCCTGGGTACGTCACTGATATGTGTCACATGGGAAAAATTGAATTTTTGATTTTCAAAAAGTTTTCTGAATTTTTTCGCAATTGTCCAACTTGCATTATTGACAAGCCTAGACTTCCAAACTGCCTTCATATTAGTACTAATATCCCTAGAATCCCATAAAAGATCTGAGAGCTTTAAAAATAAGATTGTGTGAATTTTTATAACGAAGAATGGAGATTCAAGTGTTGCAAGTTGCCTTTATTTTTAAAGTAGTCCATATCCGTAAAGATGACGCCAATAGATAGTCCTTTGTTCACTACTTATGTGTGCCAATTATTAGACCTTGCTAAAGTTTAACAGTGTTGTGTAGAAAAATGAAAGGTGTCACAAAACTTATGTTACGACCTAATGCAATAAACTGCTACAATGATGCTTCCAGACGCATTTTTGTAACAGATGCTTGCGCAAAATAAGCCTATTAGTAGTGTTACAAGTTTTATTCTACAGGAGTCCGCTTAACGCAAAGTACTAGGTGCACCGGTTTGATCTGTGGCAGTTTGACAGAGAGAGAGAAGCTTGACACATTTCAGCAGCAACTTTTATACCGTGAATAATTACATGATAACGGCCGAATTTCGAGTCACATTCGTCATGCTACTTTATTAGTATTTTGCATAACGTCGACGAAGACTTCACATAGCTGGCGGATGCACCACGACTTAATGTTTTGCTTAGAAACGATGGCGGCGGCCATGATGCTTTGGCCCACGATGGATTGGTCCCGGGCGATGACCTGGTCTCGGGCGATGGTGTGGTCCTGGTCTTCCTGGACGGTGGTGCATTCCGTGTCTCAAGCCTTGCACTGTTAAACAAATACATCACTAGCAAGCAGAGCAAACTGAATTCGGATCCTACCAGACGTGCTGCAGATAAACATGAAGGCAAGTAGGGTTAAGAAGAGAAACTTGAGGGACGCCATCTACGCGGGATCGGAAACACTTCAAACTCTTTTACACTCCTGTTTGCAGGGAGGACTTTTATACTTTGCTTAATATCGCTCACAAAGACCTTAAATTCGCCAAATATTGTTCAAACATCTATCAAAAAAGTAAAGTGCGTGTTGAGATTTCCAATAGAAAAACCTTTTCGCAGCGTGTTGTTTGACCACATACTCAGATGATGAGCCATCATGACGACATAACAAAGTAAATGACCAGAAATTGGCGACAACACTCAAGTAATTTCGCACATTGTTTTCTGTTGTCAAATCATTACCGAATGAAGAAGAAAGTGAAAAATTGAAGATTTTTTGGTTTTGGTAGTATACATGTAAGCTGCAGCTTATGATTAGTACCAGTCTTTAGGTGTGATCCGATTTCATTGAGTTTAAGGAAACGACTGTAAATTTTTTTGAGTTGAGAAGCTAATCTCTTTATGGTGTAGTCGTTTTACGAAAATGTAGAACAATCGACCGTAATTCCCACTTAATCGAGTTACAACCCTCCAGTGTCAATCGGGCCTTCTAATTGTAAGTAGAGTCCATATCTCATGTCAGTGCGATCTCGATGAAAATTTACCAATGTCTTGTTGCATTGCCCATATTAAGATTAAAGAGGAACTAAATCTAAGCGGTGAGTGTCAAAGCTTCTATGCTTGATCTTGAAGAATCTTTCAACATTCGCACGATACACTAGCAATTTGCACCGTGCTTATGTTAAGCATTACCTTTTGTTTGCTCTGATCCATCCACTATGAAATTTGTGCCTTTTTTAAAGATTTGAATTACAGTTCAATTCATCTGCAGGCTTTTGAAGCAAGCCGTCCAAACTGCAATAGATGCTTGCAGCACCTACCTAACCTCATATGCAGTAAAACTATGACTGTATTGAGTGTAGAACTGACCAGATGTATGGATGCAGTAATTTTTGAGAAAGTTTGAAGGCATATTAATTAGACAACTTCGATTTTATTTATAAAGTAGATGATGCTCAAACATTGCTGTGGTTGAAGCCAAAAACGCTTTTTCGAACTTATTGACAATAGTATTATTGCAGCTCGGCATATCTATGTTGATTGATCTTGAGTACAATTAACGTTTTGACAGCAACGTACATAAAGCAACGTTGTTTTATAATAAAACCGAGCATCTTTCTATGTAGCTTAATTTGCACTTTTTAAGTGGATTAGGTTCGCTGGCTCTTGTTTGCAGTAGGTTAGGGGATTTTCGTTTGCTACAAATAAATTTACTCTAATAGAACGAGAGCGTCGACTCAAACAGTGTGAATGCTGAGTTTGTATAGAGTCTTCCTGCCTACCGAAAACTTTGTGAAAGTTTCATTAACTCTTGCCGAAAAACGAGATTAAATGCAATGCAGACACCGCCGCAAGAGTTCATTTTTTTCTTGAGCGTCGTCCTTTGTTTCGTCATCTTGTTGGTATGACAGTATGTGATCACACATCTTCGTTTGTTCTCGCACTTTTTCTTACGATACGTCATCAAAAGTAAGACTTGTTTTTCTGGCTCGCTGAACTGATATCGGCTAAATTTCGAGTATTTTTAAGTAAGTAAGTTGTAGTATATAAGTCTGTAGAGAGTAAGTTTGGTTCGCTAGAGGTAGAAGTGCTTCTGATCCCGCGTAAATGGCATCTTTCAAGTTCCTTTTGATAACCCTGCTTGCCTTGATGTTTATCTGCAGCACATCTGGTAGGTTCCGAATTCAGTTTGCTCCTACTTGCTAACGATGTATTTCTTTAACAGTGCAAGGCATGAGACACGGAATGCACCACCGTCCAGGAAGACCAGGACCACACCATCGCCCGAGACCAGGTCATCGCCCGGGACCAATCCATCGTGGGCCAAAGCATCATGGCCGCCGCCATCGTTTCTAAGCAAAACATCTAGTCGTGGTACGTCTGCTAGCAATTCGGTATATGAAATTTTGCAGTGATACAATGTGCAATGTTATTAGACTACAATGACAAATGCTTAAATAAGCAATCTCAAATTTGTGTCCGGATTTTGTGTCTTTGAGCAACTTTTTTGACTGTGAATATCACATCCCGTTCACTGTATTGGATTGCTGTGAATAAACCGTGCTTGAAAGCCATACTATTCGAAACACCGATCGTAGCACACAGTATCATATAGTCAAGAGCGAACAAACAGTGCTTTCGCTAATTATGAGCCGGTAGTCAACACAGCGTTTCAAAATTTTTTGGAACTCTGTGAATGAAACGTTTCGACGCGTGCGTATATAGTACTTATAAGGTTGGAAAAGAGAAGTCGAAATGAATTGTGACAGAGGTATTTTTGGATAGAGCGAAGAAAACGTTACCTGATAACCTTTGAACATTGCCATAAGTGTATTGCAAAATTTGAAGCCGAAGCCTATGGTAAAGCAGTGCTACCAAAAGCTCTTCACTCCAAACAATCCTAGAAATTTTCTTACTTGCACCGCATACACTAGGTGTATGCGGTGTGCGGTTACATCAGGATAATAATCGGAATCGCTGAACACAAATACGAAATTCACAATTTGTCGTAATGCTTCTTTCAAAACTACTAGCTGGCTCAGTTTTCGTTTTTATTGAACTCCAACAGCTTTTATAATCTAACACTTAATCGTAGTCTCTATAACAAGGTTAGTTGAAAATTGTCTTCCTAAATTTTAGGGAAATTTTTGAGTAAATACCTCCTTCTCAGCAGAAAAGACTACAAAAACGCAACTTTTTCGCTTTCTGAGCTTTTTTTCAAATAATCACACTCACTCCCATAAGTTATGCCGTAATATCTGGGCTTCGCCCCAGATGACTTTTATCCTTTCTTCCAGCTTGAGGTTGTCTATCATGACTCTCAAGGTGAAGGTTATCAGAGTATATGGCTCTATGTATGAAGTATGATTGTAAGTATCAATTCCGCCAAACATTTGCAGTGATAGAAATTTAACAAAATTATCGCATTCATTCATGAAGCAGAACATCTTTCACCTGATAACGCTAAAATCTCAACTGAATTGTCATTAAGAAGTGAGATGCCAAAAATCTGATACGGCACTTGAGTTTGATCAGAATCAATGTGGCAGAAGTCCAAAATTGCAAATATTTTTCTGCTAAACAAGTTCAGTTGGTGGCAAAGACTTAGGATAAAATTTCAATTGATAAGTCGCTCAGATTAGAAGATGATGCAATCTTTTCGAAAAGCTGCTTAATGATGTCAGCATTTAAGGGAAGCCTATATCAACTAAAACTTCATTTTCATTTGATTCTACCCCGTCAAAGCGGAATAGAATTCCAGTTTATTCTGCACAAAACGATACCGATTATCCAAGAAAATACTTTCAATCGTTTCTACTCAGTTATTATGATGGACTAATCACAGAATCTGTGATAATCTCGACACGTATGTGACCGTCCACCATTTCATTTCCGGATTGCCGTGATAGATTTTCTGACTACTAGCACCACCATGTAACCATTGCGCACCTAGAGTCAATTGTGAGTAAGGTAAAGGCTACTCGATTTTTCCAAGATAAGGAGTGTCTTGAAGGGATCATCCAAGAAAATCTGAGAATTTGGACATTTAGCTATAGCCCAGACCATACTACTATTGCTGCTCTCCTGTATGGGGTGGAAAAATAACTTGAAATTTATGCCGCATTGTACAGTGTCAAAAATAGGGGGTTAAGCCTCATCTGTCATCTCTTCAAAGCAAGAGGATGATTAGAACCAATAGGGACAGTGAACGTGCAAATTTCGGTACCAATGAGGGCCAATCAGGTTCCTAGAGCTAGTGAGGAGGTTACGGTCTGGGTTACAGTTAAAGTTGAATTTCTCAATTGCAAATGAATAAAATGAGCTGTTGCTTTCGCTATCAGATAGTTAAGGCTTCCTACACTTTTTACCACAAGAAATCTGGTGGCTTTTGCCTGAACACTGACTTCAAAAACTGCTGCATCGCGCAGAAAAAATTTCTTTAGCTTGCAGCAGAAAGCATTGACTGAAAATAAGGTAATGGAAGATCTTTATTCCCGCAGTTTGTATATCATTCATTCTACGACTAGGAGACGCGAGACCGCAATGCTCACATTTTCTAAACAAGCTTAATCGTGTATTTAGCAGGTTTATACTTGTTATTTATCTCGTCCACGTTTATTCACTCTTTGGAAACAGGGAAGAACAAACTCGAACATGTTAGGAAAATGTCCGCAATGCGGTCACGCGTCTCTTAGTCATAGAATAGATGACACTTATTTTATTTCATTTATGATGAAAGCGCGCCAAAACTGAAAACAGTACAGTAAAATAGTAGGAAGTGCTTAGATGTTCGAAAGAAAAAAACACTGATTGTACTCTTTTTGGTCGTTCATCGGAAATGTTCGAAATTTCCAAGATTTTGTTAACTGATGACTTTCTGCAAATTTTAGGAACCTTTAGGAGTTATCAACTTATCAAAGAATCTACTGCCGTTATTCTTCCATTTTGAATACATTGAATATTTCCAAAATCCAACTCTTTTGTCCAAGACTGTGAATTTGTACTCGGTTGTCATTGTCTCTGTTGTCATCGTGGAAAAGGCCTACAGCGAAGGATGATGCGTGTGTGTGTGTGCGTTTCAAACAGGATGTCACAATGATGAATGGCTTGAAGCTCCCTTGGGTTTTGACGTGTGGGGCCGGCATGAGCTATAGAGAGCGCTCGCAAGAGATAAGGTACAAATGACTGCTATTTTGGCTTTCTGCCATATATGATGATTTTGAAATCAGCGAATGAAGGTGTGCCCTATCGATGGGAAAAAATTTGGGAAAATATATTATTAGGGTGTCTCAAAATTTTTTACCGTTTTTACTACAACCGTCGTTTTCTTTGTATCTTTCCTTCTCTTGATGTGGCTGGGTATTCATTCGACAGGGCAAAGCAAGCTCTACAAGATGGCTATCAAGGGTCTGCTCAAATCGTATTCTACTTGAAGTTTTGAGCTCAAATGTGATGGCAGTCAAAAACGAACTTTTCCGTTGAGAATCTTATCTCCACCCCAAATCTTAAACCCATTTAACCTAGCATATGCTTAACACATGTACACATTCAACTTTTCGTATTTCTCCCATGGCTAGAAATAGACAAAAAAATGATGAGGCAAAATGGCAAACTCCGCCTCTATGATCATATAGCTTATACGCATAAAAGTACGATCATGTATTTGTATCCTTCGTAAGTGCCCCAGTTCTCGAGAAAAATGCTGATGTTTAGGATAAAAAGTGTAAAAAACCCTAATAAGAGCAAGATTTCCTTATGATTTATTCATTTTTTGTTTTATTCTTATGAACTATACTTACTTTTTACAAAGTTCCTTGTTTCCTTTTCTCTCATTTTCCTTCTTTGAGTGATTGAGGCGTTTCATAGGCCAATAGGTGCCGTGTAAAAAATTTATCTACATGTTATTCTTTCGGCAAAAAAAATCTGCCAAATTCGAAAGCGGTAAGTTAAATTGCAAAAGATAATTATGTAAAAGGATGCTACAAATTTTGAGACGAATACGAGTGTTTTGTTATGCGGTCAGATTATTCTGATTTAATAACGTTGTAGTCGTAGAACACAATATACGTATACACTGCACAATCTTTTTTTTACTACAGTTTATTCCTTCATGTTTATGTTACCGTTTAAAATAAAATCCACCCTGAAAAATTTTTTCCACTTTAAATAGAAAAGCAGCGTCTAGAAAAATTCACGTTTCCTTATAAGTGTATCTCAAAAAATTGCATGCTGTTTGAGTTAACTCCTGTTGCTGTGAAGTCTTTCGCCATTCTTTAGGTACCATCTAAATTGAAGCGAGCTCTCCATCCTGTAGAGCTCGCTCAACTTAGATTTACATTACGAAGCGAATCCATACCAACGCGCTTCATTATTGTAGGTTACGGTAGGAAACTTGACGACAGTTTTTGAGTCATTAAGGCACATTTCGTTTCAGAAACTAAACCAAACTAGCCATTTTTACTTTTAACTTAGAGCTGCTGATTTTGTAGTTATTTTTGATGATTTAGCCAAAAATATCGTGAGAACTTTTTCTTCGCGCTCTTACACCATTAAGAAGCTTTGAAAATTCATAATAAGCTGCATACTAAATACTTACTACTACATAGTTTCCTGCTAAAAAGCTTTTCAGATTTTTTTGAAAATTTCTTCGAACGACTCATCTTACAGTGGCGTTGTACGCTGGTTCCTACCGTAATCCTATAGTAAGCATTCCATAAATCTAATTTATAGCCTTCTCTAGAGAGTAGCATCTTAAAAGCAGGGGAAGAATTTATAGAAAAATATATTGATGATCAATTAGGATGCAGTGCATTCTTTGAGACAACCGTGCACTGTAGTCATTGCTAATTTGTCCATATTTTTTTCAGATTTTTTTGATTTTTAAGCAGTTTCAATTTCCACGGACAGAGTTTTCTCACAAAACAACATTGCAGCTTATAGTCATTCGAGTTAACAAAAGTTGGATTCTTAGCAGTTTTCTCGTTGTGCACTGTTCAAAAATTCAGTTTTTCAAACTCAAACATTACTGCTTTCTTCATTTCCCAGCTCCACGAAATTGTACTGCACAAAGTTTCCTCAACCCATTCTTCGCTGGTGTACTGACAGGATAAGAAAAGTAAGGAATTATATTTTACAGATGGTGTCAAATTACTTGCCACCAAAAAAATACTGGTGTGAAGAACAGGAACTGTTAAGTCACATGTTTATTTTTTTCTAAAATTTTCAGATGAAGAAAAAGGGGCTGCGAGGTATGTTTACGAGTGCTTTTGGGGTCTATGTCAACCTGTGTAACAGCTGTTTTTTATAGTTCATGTGTGCAGTCAGTCTACATTCTCATGCTCAAGCTCTCTACAATGAATCCTCTCTTTCAGCAACAAAAAATATTTTCGCTAATTATAAGGTTTGAATCTGAATCGTAAGCCATGCCTTCGGACGTGAAGAAGCATGATTTTCAAGACGACTTTTTTGTGATATCAACATCCATAGTGGACTTGAAATGCTATAAAGGATTTTATTACAATCATGATTTGTAGATTTGTTTTAAACATATGGGTTCAAAATATTTCGGAAAAAATGCTCAAAATTTTTATTACTTTTGCTTGGACTGACGTAGCGAGGTTATAACATCAGTAAATTTCATCACTGCTGACCTGGCTCAACAGCGTTTAACCAAAGAAAAACGGTCAACAAAAGAATTTCGCAATCAAGGCAAAAACTCTAGTTGAAGTGCAGAAAAGGCGAGTTTTCTGTTTAAAAATTTCTCAATAAGAGCAGGGCTCGGCACGAGCTGGCACCAGAGGAACTTCAGAACAAAATCCCTTTTGATCTTGAACCCTAAACGTAAGGAAAACCCTCAAAAAACGAAACTTCGACTAAAGAAACGTCGCAACTTATGTGTCTTTTCGGCCACAAAAACGATATCACCTTTGCTTTTTGTCTCAAAAACGAGACCCAGCCTGGTTCTTTGCCAATTGTGCTGATCTCTGAGTGAGGGTCTTCATTGGGCTCCATTTAATTGTGAGTAAAAGTACTTTTGCGTATTTCCAAAGCAATACACGCTGCCCTCCCTAAATTGGGTTCTAATTGCCTTTTTTCTATGGCGATGACTCAGCTGGGTGATAAAGGATTTCTCTGACTTGTGAGTCTTCACTCTTATTCACTTTTGTCATCCGGAGTGTAAAAGAAAATCGAGGAATGTCTTTCTATATTCGTGAGAGTTGACATACTGTAGCCTGTGGAGTACTGTAGAAATGAAATCGATTCATAGACGTGCCAGCGTGTCGCGCAAGGTCAAAGTACGGTATGCCGACTCCAGGGCCCAAAAGTACTTTATCGAGAAAAAAGACTTCGCAACAGTAATTTCTTTAGTAAGAGCGCTTCACACTGGGCTACGAACCACAGGAATAAGATGCACATGATTTTAACTTTTTTTTATATTTATTTATCTCCATGTATATAAGTGCGCTGCAAAAAGCATAGTTAAGGTGTCAATTATTGAAAACTTTATTATGACTCTGTAACCGTTTAAAGTTCCTGTCATCAATCGTTCCCTTTCTTTTTTTCTTCAAAACTTCAAGCTAAGTTCACAAGTTTTTTGAAATTGGTTTTTTTTTGATAAAAGGAGCAACTGAAACTTTTGAAGGATATCTCCTCAGCAAAATGTAGTTTTTATTTCTTGACTTCACTATCATTTCAAAGTGTATGACTAGGCTACAACAAGTACAGGTAGTCAGGGTAATGATTTTTGAAAATTAAGTATCATAATTTCAAGCGTTTGAGGTTTCAGTCATCATTCTTCGTTCTCTTTACTTCTTCCAAACCTTCAAGAGTTTCATAAACCCTTCAGAATCAAAGCTGAAATCAAAAATAGTCAGTTTTTAGAAAATCACAATTTTATTATGATTTCCTCGCTAACTGCGCAGTAGATGTAATTGAGGAATTAATTAAAATTATATCCTAACCTCGCCAATTTGAGACTTCATCATTTTACCTTCTTACTTCTTCTAATTTTATTACAAAGATTACATTATATTCAGAACATAGATTTTCTCGCAAAAATTGCAGAAATCTCTTCGAATGATATTTCTTTTAAAATCAAGGTTTAAGAATTAATCTCTTCGGTAGCCATAAAAAAGTATATTCCACTTTTTCCCTTTATGTTATATTTATTAATTTTTTTCATTTGCAGGTTTATGAATTCTAGACAACATGCTTTATCAAGATGGTTATTGCCTATCTCCTCAACGGCTTACAAAATCAATATTAAAACACCCTGGTTTGCTGCCCTGTATCTATGCTTGCACGTAATTTGTACACTTTGAGTGATCCTTGGAATTTTTTTTCTAGCTAAGAACACTTTGCTTTTGAGGGAATCGTGCATTGCCCTTGTTTGTTACGATGCCTTTGTCTCTAACCGTGTTCCTTTGACGCATCATGAGTGTGTAAAAAAATAAAATCTAAAGGATTGCTCAAGTTTCTCTCGAGTAAAATTTTTGATCAGAATTTTCTTCGGTAAGAATCATTGAAATTGTCTTCGGTAGCTATCTCCATAGCAATGGCACAGTCAGCTGTGCCTACCACTTCTGTGCGCGCGCCGGGGCCCCGGCAGCACAATGGCCCGGCTCCTCCGGAGCTTAGCCGGCTTCTGACGACGGCGGCGAAGTAGGGGCGTGGCGCTGCGGCGGCCGGGGGGCGAGTCGGCGGCCGCGGCGACTCGGCTGGCGAACGCAGCGCGCGCGTCCGCTCACTCCCCCCGAGAGTCTGCCCGATGGAGGGTCTGGAAAGCGGTGGTTTGGCTGCTGACCCGCTGCTTAGCGCGGCCCTCTCATCACCCCTCGGCTCATTATCTCGTGAAGATATTTTTCTACATGATTTCGCTAGGTCAAGCCCACATGCTGGTGCTTTATTTGGGTAAGTACTTCTAGATTTTTTGTGCATTTTTTGACTTTTGACCTTTGAACTTGTTGATTGACATGATTCTATGACAGCCTTAGCTTCAAAGAACTCACCCTATAATCACATTTTATATGCCTTCTCTGCAACATCTGAATTCTAAATTTTATCAGTTAAACAGATCTTGAGATCCGGTCATCTGGATTTTTCACTTTTTCAATTTGCGAAATATCTTCACATAGTGCCTCAACCTTTCGTAAGATTAGGTTCTACAGTTTTGTACCGTAATCTTAGTGGAAACCAGATGCCCATGAAATAATGGGCGTTCTTTGAGTTCAATTTGAAAAATGGAGATTACACAATCGACGCAGTCTTTTAGGTCCATGTCTCTCACAGCTATTTTTGTATTTCAGTTATGTCTGAAGAATCGCATCACTAAACATTATAAAAGTTTAGATTTTTTAATACTTCTTTATCCTGACGTCCACTCACGCTTAAGTGTCCATTTTACAGACCTGTTATTTTCTATTTTACAAACTTATAAACATCTGTGTTCCGAACGCCATAGAGAGGAAAAATTTCTGGAATTTTGGAGTAATTTCTGCTTTTACTCCTTCTTCTTTCGGTCATCCCCTCCATTTTATTTTCTTTTTCTTCTCTTTTCCTTTGCCTCAAAAGAAAATGAAAGAAAACCTAACACGTACGCTTATTACCTACACTACTCCTTGTTAGCGCTATTTTCACGTAAATTGCTGTCTCGACAACCCCCGTGTCCCCCTGGACAACCCGCTGAGAATCCGCTATTTGTCCGAGACGGGCCGGGGGAGGGGGGGGGGGGGGGCTTTGGCGCAAGCTGCCCGCAATCTGTGCTGTAGTGAAAGAACGGCAAGCGCTGAATCAAAAGAGCTTGCACACGCAATCATTGTGCATATTTATGTGGTTGGGAATTGATGCGGAATGTTCTACGGGACCAGTTCTCGCAGTTCTGAAGCACACGGAGGTCCTAGTAGAGTGAAGTGCACTTCTCTAATTGACTTCCACACCCTAACAGTTGTCGAGCCACCTGATTACATAGACGCCCTATAATTGCACCCTTCTTGAGATTTTTGGGAGAGTAGAGTAGCGGATGAGGGGGAGGAGAAGGAGGACGGGATGTCTGGGATTCAAAGAAATTTTTTTACGCACTGAAAAATTTTCCTATTTTTTAGGAATTACGCAACTCTCACTACCCTACAACCTCTACCGCCGATCTCTACCGTAACATCAAATGGAGGAAAATTTAGCCGATCTTCTTCGCCCGTCAGAGAGCGACAAAATAGGTCAGTAGATCAAAAAATATTAAATATTATTTATGTTTGAACAAATTTGATTTTCAGCTATTTCTTTCCTCCTTCTAGTCAATCCAGTTATAATTATAATGTAAACATAAAGTACGAGTATGATTTGAAAAATGAAGAGGATTCAAACGATTCACCTCCTGGTAAGTACTCGAGTTACTCCAGAAATTTGTGATTTTGCCATATTTTTACAATTTTTAGGTCAACCACCATGTAGTACACCTTCTGATTATTCACAAAATCATGCTTCACAACCGGTTGAAACTACTTTTTCTTCAGCTAACTTTGTCCCTTCCTATAGTGGAATGGAAATAAGGTACGCATAGATATCTTTTTTTTTCACCCCTTTAAGCCAAAAATCCCCTTTCAGATCCCCAAAAATCGAAAAGGACTGTTTTTTCAACGGCTATAGCAACGGTGACTGCGACGTTGATGAAGAAGTAAGAGTGCTATACTAATATTGAATTTTTCAATGTTCATTGCGTGATGTGATGTAATTAAGTCGACATGCTTGCCAAAGAACGGTTCACCGATAGCGAATGGTCACGATAGTATGAATGGTGAAGAAGACGACGATGGAGAGGAATTGAATACTAAGGTATTATATCCATTTTTGGGAAGCAATAAGAATTATTGATTGTATTTCTTCACTATCAAAATTATTTCAAGAAGTCCACATGAGGAGTTATGATATTGAGTAAATCTATTTTTTGGAAATGTTTCTGAAATGAATCACATAATTTTTGCAGTGAAATATCGATTTCACTTCCTCCAAGCTCATAAATCCAATTTTCACATGACAGTCCCCGAAAAAATTTTGATCTCTTTTTCGAGAAAAAAATTATCTTTCACAGTAGAGTAATCTTGACTTCATTACCTTAGGAACCCGTTATGAAGTTGCGCAACTCACTTTTTATGTCAGTCTCTCAGAAATTTATAGAATTGTTCGAAAAAATTTGGGGTCATTCTCCTCCGAGGTTTAGTAAAAAGAAAAGCATTTCCCTGTTCCAGCCAATTTTCATCAGCTCTTAAAAATTCCCTTTTTATAAAATCATCATCTGTAAATTTGTCCCTGTTTCTCAGCGTTTTCCCTGATCGAATAACAGTCTTTCAAAATAAATACTATAACTTGGAAATTTGCTAAAGCCCTAGTTGACAGCCACAAGCAAAAAATACTTATTGATTTATTTCCTGTGCCATTTCAAAGTTCATATTCTCTCCTTCCTTCCCGCTAAGTGATTTTGTCAATTCGTTTGTTCCAACTTCTCACGCACTTCTTTGAAAAGTGCCTTATCTTGTGAATTTGTAAAAATCTAATTTTTGAAACTCATGGTAACAAGGCAACATTTTCAACAAAACACATATCTCAGAAAATTTCTAAGCGAAGATTTTTCTGGAAAATAGTACTAATTTTCTACTGTTTCAGGATCTCGCTCAACGAATATCAGCCGAACTGAAACGATACTCAATACCGCAAGCAATTTTTGCACAGAAAATACTCTGCAGGTAAGATCTTTCACGTCAATCGTTCAACTAGCAATCTTCTGGTCGCCTTCTGGCCATGCTAAGCCCCCCCCCCTCCTCCCCGTCTGTCTTGTCTTGCGGTCGCATCTCGGCCGTAACATAATTATGCAGCCTTGTGTGTCTCAGTTAGTGAACGCTGATTGCGTCGGCGACGAGAAGCAAAGTCGATTTTCTGTGCGTTGATCATCGCTTTCGGTGATGATTTTCGAGAAAGACGGGGGGGGGGAATTCGGTGGGAGAAAAGAATTCGCGGTTCCCAGAACTGGATTAGAATATGAAGGTTGTAGTAAAAATGACGTTGAATTTTGCGCCACTGCGGTGAATACAACATTTGCGCGAAATTACGCCCTGCTTGCAAAATGCGGCAAGTTTGCTTGTGAAATGCGTGTGAGATGCTAATAAAGTGTTATTGTTTGCGCGCAAATGTTGTCGACAATGCAAAAACCCTTGTTTTTCACTTTTTTAAACATTATTTCCGAATTTACTTAGCTATATGCAATTTTAGATCGCAAGGAACGTTGTCAGACCTCTTACGCAATCCGAAGCCATGGTCGAAACTGAAGAGCGGTCGAGAAACCTTTCGACGGATGGCAAAGTGGTTACAAGAGCCAGAATTCAAAAGAATGTCAGATTTGAGGATGGCAGGTCTGTTTGGCTTCTAAATCTCTGCTTTTCACCCCCCCTCCTATTGTCCCCCGTTGTTTACGTCGAATTTGTCATCATTGGCGCAACGCTACCTAATCTCTGCGCCCAGCTGTCCCTAAGGACATCAAACTTGGAAACAGAAATATTGTCTTCTATAGAAGTTTTTCATTTTCGTGCTCATTCTTGCTTGTCCAACAAGTCTATCTCTCTCTTTCTCTTTCCCAAAGGGGTTCATGCACATTGCGCTCATTGTTCTTACAAAGCAACTCATGCGCATTTCGTTTCTATTCATGCGAAAGTCGTCGCTGAGCGAGAGCGGACAAAAGTACGAGAGCACCCCCCCCCCCGCGTCCAGCTCCCCGTAAAAGGATATGCGTTCTCTGAACCACTCAGTCATCTCGTCAGGAACTCGATCCATCGTGAGGATCGATAGATAAGTAATGTTAATGACGAACCAGCTGTACCTCGGTGTGTCTGAGTGACAGATGGTGTGTGCCATGTACGGACGACGGAGGTCATTGAGGCGATGCAAGCCGGGCGCATGTGTTCCGTGAAAAATATAGGCCAACTAGGGAGAGGGGGGGGGTGGAGGAACCCGGGACCACCTGTAAGGGTTCAAGGAGCCAAAAAATCAATCTGATTAATTTTACATTCGTTCACTTTCTCCTATCAAATTCCAAGCCGTGGGAATTTGTAAATGCAGAATAGAAATAAAATTAGCAAGCCTTTAAAAAATCAATATTTTCTTTTTTTCTTTCTATTTTCAGAAAAAGTACATTGATTAATGACATCTGGGGCTTCAGTTTATTTCCTCCCCAGCTTCCTTCTTTTTTCCTTTTCTTTCTAGAATTTTCTCAGCAACAAACAAAGCTTCCCTTTGTGCTTTGAAAAGCGCCGCATTTCGTCATGGTCCCCCCCCCCTTCCCCCGTTCCCCTCATCGTAATGCCCATAATCCCTCAACTGAACGGCTGAGGCTTAGGACCTAGCTGACAAAGCTCGTTTGCAGTAAAATGCGCACTACATCAGTGTGAATACACTTTCCATCACATGGTTTGACGATTAAGGCTTTGGACAGGGAAGTATTGGGTTGTTGCAAAAGTTCTACCCGTTTTCGATGCCTTTTTTTGAACTGCCGATTTTGGAGGAAAAAACCATTTTTCATAAACAATATTTACATCGTTCAAAAGCTCTTTTCTTCTAGTTTTTCAGGCATATTTTCTTTTTCATAGATCTTTGTTCGCTGTGTGGTTGCTACATTGAAAAGACAGCGAAACAAATGTGAAAATTTTCGTCTTTGCTTTATCGCCGTCTAATCTACAGCCAAAAGAAGAAATTCCTTTGTAAATATATATAGTGTTTGCTGGAGACTTGTGCTACGAAACGCTCATCGAGATGTGATTTTAGAAAAATTTTGAACCTACAAATTTTTAGCTCAAACATAACCTGTTTTTATGGTCCCTTCAAGTCGCATAAAAATCATAAACATATTGCAATCGCGGAACTTTTACTCTATATAGTAAGATTAGAGCTAGAACAACTACTACTAGAAGAACGAAAAGATTTCCTGGTTTGTCAACGGCGAACAAATCGAAAATGTCAGAAAATTGCATTTTTTGCCGCCTCAGAAAGGGCAAAATAAGTGGATCCTTTCGGATTTTTCAGCACAAAATTTTTATGAAGGAGTTTGATCAAATCCAAAGTTAGCGGTACTGCTCAGTCGACTATAGGCTACACTCTGAGCAGTGCTTATGCAACTCAGCTATATTCCAAATCAAGTTATGCTTTTGCAAAGTGAAGGTTTCTACAATGGGATGTTCCTCGATTTTCGCCTATAAAATCTTCTCCACTGTTACTGCAATAATCTTAAAGAGTGCTTAAAGTAGTCATTAATTTGCAGATTGTAATACAGTTTATAGCAATTGCAAAGATTATTTCTGAAAAGAGTTATGATGAATCAAAATCAAAGCTCGAAAACGGGTAGAACTTTTGAAACAACCCAATAAATTTGGTAGTAAAATATTCAGAGACCTCAGATTATTCGAGGATAGAATTTTTTACCATTATTTTGCCCAAAGACGAAAAACTGGAAAGAAAAGCGCAAATCAGCAGAATCTTTGGAGTTTGAAATGGCGAAAATTTTTGCCTTTTTTTCTCAATTATGAAAGGGATGTTGTGCAAAAGTTTTGAATGCCATTTTAGCTAATAATTCATAAGAATGGAAAATTGCACGCTTTTTAAAATTATTACGAAGTCAATCGACGTCCAAGACAAATTTACTTCTGTAAGAGTTTCCCCTTTCATCTAATTTAGTAGCGCTTACTATTTAAAAATCCCCGTTTCACGTCTTGAAGCAGTTTGACTTGTAGAAAAATTCCCATTTCAATGTAGCAAAGTTTATTTTCTCAAAAAATCGTCTTGTCTGTTATGAATACTTGGCATTTTTTGAATAAAAGACATAGCAATTTTGTAATTTTTCTCAAAAGTTTAAGTTTTTTCACTCTTAGCGCGAGTTATGACTTCTTCAATATGCCATTTTAACAGGTTTTTTTTTCAAAAAATTTTCTTTTGATCCGGTAACAGCGCTGTCTAAACTTGGCTCTCAGAAACACGATTTGGAATTCTAATTAAAAATTTGCGGTTGATCTCAAGTGGCTGCTTTTAGGAGAAACAAAAAAATTCTGTTTCATCTGGCAGTGCTTATTCTACATGAAATTTCCAGAAAATCGCACCAGTCTCTCTCCAAGAATAACAAAAGCAGCTAATTCTTTCCCGTTTCATTCTTTACTTATTTGAAAGGATCAGTATGTAGAATTCAGTTACATACTTATTTGCATTATGGTTTGCGAGCGTGCAACATAAACGGCGTGGTTAGGAAGTGCCTCATTATATTCCGCATATTAGTAATGGTCCCGTCACCCCGCGATGAATACTGAGCCCGAGAACCGAACCTACGCGGCAGCCACATTATTTTTGCCGCCCGGCATTTCCACCAACACGACGTCTGGGTGAAAAACCCCGCATCGTGGATTTTTATGTTCTCTCGTTGATGAGCCGAGCGCATTCGAGACGATACGAAGCTGCTTCTGCTTGTACTGACTCATACACTCTCTCATGTCTCTCGCCAGAGCTGGAAATGGAAGCACGGCGGGGGGGGGGGGGGGGATTGCGCTAAGCGCGAGAGTGCCGCGTAAGGGCGGCGTTTTCTCATCTTTCTCGCGTTACAGTAAGCCGGCCGGCGCGGCCAATCGGAAATCGATGTGCTTGAGGCGGGCGGCGCGTAGAGAGCGCGGCGGGGCGCGAGGGTCCTGACACGCAGACACCGGGGCCAAATGAGGCAAGCGGGCCCTCGGGGCGCTCTCGGAGGCTTGTGCTTGCTGCCTGGCTGGCTGCTGTTAGCTCTGACTGAAGCTACACACACTCTTGTGTGCGGGGCAACCGAATAAGGGGGGTCTTACACATGGGGGGAGCGAGCGATGTGGGGGGCAGTTTTGAGCAAATTTTGGCGGGAAATTTCGGGGTTTATGCAAGAAAATTTAAGAATAATGACAGCAATATAAAACGGACCTGCTCGGAAAACGACGAAGCTATAAGAGTAAAGGGGAAAATCGAAGTCGAGTAGCGACACACAGCCCTCTAGAATCGATACATTAGCGGCTGGCTTATTTTGGTAACAAACACAAATTAGATGACAAGCCATTATGGCAGTTATTCCCATTTTCATACCCATACAAAGTTCTCACAATCCGGACTCGTCGCGACGTTGCCGCTTGTCGCGAAGTTGCCACCTACAGTAAGTTCCTTCCCACTCCCATTTCGCGGCTTTTCTGCCACCAAAGAGCCCCCAATTTCCCTTTTTTTCGCAATTCATTTGTTTTTATGCAAAATTCATCAGCGTATATTGCGTTGATGCACACATGCGCTCACCTCGGGGCATGGGCATCGTATCTCATGAAATACGACCCCCCGGTCCTGTACCAACATACATGCGTTTGGGATTCTTTCCAGCCGGTCCATATGTGAGAGGTTGACACAATTCTAGATGATGTAATGGCATTCATCTCTCGTTACGAAATCAACAGAATCACGGGCAAAGCCTCAATCCGGAAAGATGGAGAGGGCAAAATTCGGAGGGTGTTTCAAAAATGTAACGAATGTTTGACCTTTAATGATTCTTTTGTAACATCAGCTCTCGCGTAACTTTAAGTAGCATACTGTAAGCCAATTTCAGCCAAATTTACAATACAAAACAAATCATCTGTGGCTCTTCACTGTAGGATTACGGAGAGAACTTCCAGCACATGCCGTCATTGCAGATCAGCTGACAATTTAGATGATTTCCAAAAAGTCTAAATTCTGTAGCGAAATTAGTTTAGTCCCACTTATTCCGGTTAATGAATTGTGCATATTGTAGAACATTTATGTCATAGTTGCACGTAATGGTAAAATGGTTACTGTAGGATTACGGTAAGGTCACGAGGAGGTTTTGAGCCAATGAGAATCAAGGGCATGCTTGAAAAAATCCGAAAAAGCTAAAAATTCTTATTACTGGTTCATTAATACTGCTAGTTCCAACTTTTTGCGTTACTGTAATCCCTTCAGAGGTATGTACGATAGCTCTATTTCCATTCAAACTGTGCAAAGATCTAATCATAAAGATATTTAATGTGAGATGGTTCTTATTGGTACATTGTACTTTTTTATTCGGCACTAATTTTCTTACCAATCAGTGCGCTGGACATCTAAAGCATTTAGACGATTTTGATTTTTCGAAACGAAGTCTGTATTGCGAAGACTCTGAGGCGGAGGTTTCTACCGTAATCCTACAGTAATGAAGAACAATCGGCGATTTATTGTGCACTTTAAGTTGGTATTAAAGCCTGTTCTGCAAATATTCTAAATATGCGGAGTTTTCAAACATTTATTGCATATTTTTTTGAGTCAGCCGGTGTTTTCGATTACCTCTCCCCCCTCTCTGGAGCACCACCCCGCTTTCCCCTC